AGATGAGGTTTCTTCTGCCAAGAAGAAGAGGAAACGTCACGCAGCGCCAACCATTGCAGATGGCATGTCTCAGGTATTCCGGGAGGTGATCAAAGTTTTTGTTGACGGAACGTCGTCGCTGATCCACGGGAAGGTCATGCATGCCCTTGGTCGATTGCTAGTTGCAAAGCCAAGGGTGCTAATCGGCGACGAACCGGCGATCAAACACTGCATCGGTCACAAAGGAAGTGCTGGGAACAAACCCTGCCTTCTTTGCAGGAACTGTGTGAACTTCCGGTCAGACCTGTGGAGACACCACCCGGAGCTGGTTGCACACAGCGCCCACCGCTTTGAAAGCTTCCGTGCTGCCAGCAATGTGAGCATATGGTCAGGCGTGAATTTGCTGAACAGCCGGAAGGACATTTTGACCAAAAAGGAGTTTGCAGAGCTGGAGCAGTCCATTGGTCTCAACTGGACACCGCGCTCTGTATTGTGGGATGAAAACTTGCGTAGTGTTTTCAAACCAGCGGAGATGATCCAATACGATTGGATGCATGTGTTTTTGGTACAGGGGTTGTTCCAGCTGGAGGTCAACTTGGCACTGGGCAGGTTGTCCTCCAAAGGCTTTTCTTATGAACGCATTCACCCGTTCCTGATACCTGGCCGATCATTAAGTAAAGGTGTGTGTGTTCGCAACTGCTTTTGGCTACTGCATGGTCCCTTTGCTAAAGCAAACCTCCGTAACATATACATATGTATTTCACTCCAAGTAGTATAATGAATAAATACATATGTATCATCATCAACCGAAATCGTATCATCACTCCAACTATGTATTTCAATACATATGTATATCGGGGCTGGTCACAGGAGCATCGCCCAGCTAAGTACATGACGCCCAAAGCTGTTTCCTTTCCTTTCAATCTCCTTGCAAGGAGCTCACTCAATTGGCCAAAAAGGATGGAACGCAACCACATTGGGGCCTTCGAGTTTGAAGGCGATTCGTTTTCATGCACAGCATCAGACGGCTTGGGCCTTTATGCTGCCTTGAGATCTTATATGTTTGAATTGGGTGTTCATTCTGAAGGAGGCCTTGACGCCGATGTGGCCAAAAGTTTTTTGACGTTGATGGATTTGATTGAACTGTTGCATATGTCAATGAGAGATGCCGTGGACGCTGGTCGGTTGGAAACTTTGACCCAAACATATTTGAAGAGGTTTGTGAAGGCCCATGGGCACGAACCTGTCGTCCCCAAGCATCACCTGATGCTTCATTTGGGGAAGTGCCTGAGGGATCAGAAATTTATCCTCAGCTGCTTTTGCCACGAGAGACGGCACAAGGAGATAAAGAGGTATGGAGACAATTTACACAACACTGGGCCATGGTTTGACAGAAAAATTTTGGAGGAACTTCGGCAGCAACGGTATGTCACATGTTTTTATTGACGCTTATATCTATCTATCTATATATATATATGTATGTCCTTGTGGTGTTCCACATTGTTGATTAATTGGTGTGTTTTATGACCATTGTTTGGCTTACGTGTTCTTTGGGGTTCCACACGAACCATGTTGCGTCCAGCACAGGAGATCACGCTATCGCAGCTGCAGAAGCTCCAAGCTCTTGACCCTTTACAAGACACCGTGTGCTACTTGGAGCCACCTCTGCGAGCGGCTCCTGCAAATGCGGGTTTTGAGTCCACATCGAGAACTGCAGTTCTTATTTCCGGTGCATATTGCATGGCTGGAGACGTGGTCTTGTTCGAGGATCCTACGGATGGTCAAGTCAACTTTGGCAAAGTTGAGATGCATGCTTGCAAAATGGTAAAGCTTTCACATGCGTGTCGGTGTGGCCAGTGTCAGGGGTGAATGAACTGCGTCCTGACAAGAGTCAGAAGTGGTATCCAACAACATGCGTGAATGGCTGCCTCATTTGGCACACTTTGCCAAACGGAGTCGTAAAGATTGTGCCTCAAAAATTCTAACGGAAATCTTCGACCTGTTTGCTGGAAGGAATTGCTCCTGCGCAGGATTGAAGTTGTTTGCTTTGTTTCACGCAATCCTCGACCTGTTTGCTGAAAGGAGTTGCCACTGAGGGGGGCGCCGCACAGGGGACGCATCATTCATACAGCTCAGACATGTTCAGACATGTTTACGTTTATTTTGTTTGTCTGTTTCATTCCTCGACGCTATCTGCGGGAGTTGCTCCCGGCACCTGAAAGGAATGAAACTTTGGTGGTTTTAATCCCTGCAGGCGCCCCTCCGTGTGAACTTCTCAGTACGATCCAGGACGTGTTAAATGTGCGGGCGCGACTTGTGGAATTAGTATATAGCTCTTCTCACAGCAAAAGGGAGGGAACCAGAGGGCTGAAGAGGAACCAAACCTGAGGGATGCAGAGGGCTGAAGACACCAGAGGGCTGATTGTTTTGATCCGGAGCCCGAATACATTATATATATATACATACATATATATATACATACTGTATATATATATATCCATACTGTATATATACATACTGTATATACATACTGTACCACACCTGTATATCCAACCATACGATGGAATGGCACGAAGCGTTCAGGCCTCCAACGACGACATGGAGTTCACGGGTTCTATTCGCCGATCCTGTAGACGCGAACACTCTTTTGCAGGCTTCTAGAGAGGCGCTCGGGATTCGGGATACAGCGGCAATGTATATATATAGAACACTTGCATGGAACCAGGCAATTGATTTGGTAGGATGGAATGCCTATATGGTTTGGGTGATCTTTCTTGCCATCTACCCTTCAGGGTATATACCGTTCCAACCTGCTCATCCATTATAGTTCCATCCCACCGAGCACACCCCGCGTCGTTCCGCTCGGATATAGCCTGGCCAGGCTATATCCAACGCAGACATGACGGAGGTGTTTGGACATTTGCGGAGGCCGGCGACCGGGAAATTCATCTATGCCAGATTCTTCTACGCAGATGTGACCTATAGTAGACACATATATCGTTTATATGTTTGTTCGTTTGTGTTTCTTTTTTGTGAGTGCGTTCATGTCATTGAAACCCTTGCGAGACACAATTGTGTGGTTCCTCAATTAAACATCGAAACATATATACATAGCGCTTCATTAATTGAAACGTTTGTCAGGAGAGGGTCCATGATTATATAGGCTTCTGTTTGGTCGCAAGAACCACGTTTTTTGGCCGCACCAGGATTCTAATGCTCATTTTTGGGATCACTGTTCTTAATAGTTTTTATATATAGGATGTTCCTTGCTGTTGGATATATAGTAGTTCTAGAATTTCAGATATACACAACAAACCGCAAATGCCAAGCCCTGCCAACCAGTTTGCAGTGATTTGTTTCATCCGTTGTTCCATCCCACCGAGCCGAGCACTTGCCAGGAATGACGAGTCTGATGATGCAGCAGAGAGAATGAAAAAAAACGTGCGGCGACCGGGAATTCATCCATGCCAGATTCTTCTACGCAAGTGTGACCTGTTTACGCATATGTTTTTCGTTTGTGTTTATGTGTGTTTTGTTAACTTGTGTTTATGTGTCATTGAGACCCTTGCGAGACACGTGTTCTAATTGTGTGGTATAATGCAACAGTGTTTCCTTGCACCGGCTCGCTGACACAGGTTATAACAGGCAGTATAGGTGGATTCAGGGCATGGCAGATTGACATCGATTGGTGTGTTGTATCGTTGTGTTTTATCTTGAACGCTCTATAAAGTTTGACTATCTAACATCCGGAAGTGATTTTGCCATATATCAATGCTGAACTGCGTCAATGTTCAGTTAATTTCATCTGACAGTTTTACAATGCCCAGGCCAAATCCAACTCACGGGATGCGGATATATGATTTCATTTCACGCAGTACTCCATGGCTCAAATCCAATTCCAACGTCGTAGAATTGTTTGCGTGGAATATAGCAATTCTGTTTGGGTATTCGACGTGGCATCATACTTTGCAAGAACCACATTTTGTGGTTGCACATGGTGGCACATAAGCGCGCAGAGTTTAATATCATTATTCTTTAAAGATCACTATTCCTAATATGGTTCCACTGTATATGTACGTTGTGTTAACACTTTAATTCTTACTAACATTTTTTCTATATGTAGGACGTTCTTTTGGATCATTATTACTAACATTGTTTTCTATACGTAAGATGTGTTTTATTTTTGAATATAAACTGTATATGCACCATGTAGTTTTTTGGAATCACTCTTCCTAACATGTTTCTGTATGTGTTACTTTTTGTGTTACTCTTCCTCATATGGTTTTAATGTATATATTGTGCGATGTGTTTTTGTTTGTGATCACTCTTCCTGACTGTTTTTCTATATGTATTGGTTGGATCACTCTATATATGTTTTCGAAAAGGATATAGCACTTCCAATGGTTGTTTGTTATGCTCATGGAAGGGTCAAAAGCCTTGAATATATACCCAAAACGCCACTGCAACCGTTGCGTTGCAGGTATATATTAAACATACTCAACAGCCGAAAATATTTGCGTTCCGCTTTTTGTAGCTCTCACAATGTTTTTTTTTGCGTTTTTTGATTTATGGTTATCGCAATCCAATATGTTTATCTATAGTTTTCGTTCCACTAGTGTTCTGTTTTTTTGTTTTTTTAGATACAGTATCAGCACTTTTGGCGCGTCATAAGTCCAACTTGCCGAATTTAGCCAAGTGATTTTTTTTTGAACATGTTCTACTTAGTTGCACTTAGCTATGTTGGACTAAGTTCGACCTAAGTACAACACGTTGAACATAGGCCACTTGGCTAAGTCCAACTAAGTTCAACACTAAGTTCAACACTAAGTCCGACTAAGTTCGACTTAGTATGTAGGCTATGTTGGTTAGTAAGTGCACTTATAAGCTGGACAACCAGGCTATCTACTTATAACCCCAACCGCACATCCAAGCAACCTTGGATGCGTTTTCCGTCGAACTGGCAATGACGTCTGGCTTTGCGACAGTCACGTACCCCCCGAAGCCATAAAGAGCATCAAGGCATGGGAAGATCCGCCCTCGACCTTGACCACTGGTGGGAGGTCCTCCAGCAGCCAGGGAGGAAAGGAGGCCACGGAAGAAGGTGCACCCCCGTCGACTTTCAATCCGGCAGCGCTGGACATTCCGGCGTATCGGTCTGGAAGTTGGCAGCCCAAGGTGGATCCCAAACCCGTGACCGAGGAGGTGGCGCAGGCTGCTTGCGACCTGAGCAAAAACCTCCCGGACGATGTAGGCGGGGGAGTTGAGGTTGACACCGTGACAGGTGCCGTCACTGCCGTTGGTACCGAGGCGTGTATCGCGCCCGGTATGCCCGACGATGAAGACGAATGCGACTGGTCCGCTGGTGATTTGGATGTGGAAGTCGTCCAAGCCTTCCCTGCTCAAGTTCCCGACCCTAAAGTCGAGACCAAGGGTGAGGATGCTGAAGCGGAGCCCATGGACGCCGAAGGAAGAGGAGAAGGTGTCACCGTTTCCGGAGAGGCTGAGAAGGACACTGTCATGGAAGATCCGGAAGCTTCGGAGCCCCACAAAGGGGTAGAAATGCTGACCCCGAAAGCCGAAGAAATCATCGAGGAAGGTGGGGCCCCGTTACGCCGTCGAAAGATAAAATTTGGCAACGCCCATCTGCGCGTATTAAGAGCCGTTGCCGATGCTGATGCCAGCAACTGGGAGAGCCTGCAGAAGGTGATTGGCGCTACACCCGCTTCAGCAAGAGAAAAATCTGAGTTTTTTGGACGCCTTGAGCAATTGGCTGACCTTAGGGTACAAAGCCTTGTAGCTGCTGAGAAGCGAGCGCAAGAGCATGCTGAACGGGTGAAGCATTACACTGAGGCGGAATCTCAATACCAGAGCGGATTGAATGATGCCATGCTCCGTCTCGAACGGATGAACCCGGTGGGGCCGAGAGCGTCTGTGCCCTTGATTTCAGATGCCCGGCTGAGGGAAGACATCGCAGCTGGAAAATCCATTTGGCAAGCCAGGAGGGAACACCGTTCCTGAGCCCGGGCAGCGCAGCACCGAAAGGAAACCGCAGAAAAACCGACGCTCGATCCAAGTCAGCCCAACAGGCTCACAGAGGTGCCCCCCGCCGAGGGGGGAGGTGTGCTCAATAAAGCTTTCTCGGAGAGCGCCAAAGCAAACTTGAAAGAATTCAGGCAGATATTGCGAGAAGAGGCCCAGGTCGAGGCGACGATCAAGAAGAGAAAGCCTGATTCAGAAAGGCGAAAGAAGATCAAGAAGGATCGCCGCAAGGAAAAGAAGAGTAACACCAAGGACGACGCCGAGAGGGACCACAACCATGCCATAGCGCACGGGTCCGTGGCGAGTTTCTTGCCCGGACTTAGAGGCGCAGTTTTGACCTTGGCTGTTGAGTCCGCTAACGGGATGGCCCTGGACGAAGATGTGATGGATGGGAAAGAGGGTTACCTATTCGGTATGGCCAGCGGGGTCCTTTTTGATCTTGGGGCCGCTGTCTGCCTCTTGGGCCTCATACAGATGGTTGTCTTCACCCTTATCTTCCTCAAAAGCCTGATCGTGAGGCAATGGGAGGGGACCCCCAAGAAGGGAGGAAACGCCTCCCTGGCGAGGAGGGTGGGTGGCTCTAGGAAGAAAGTGAGGTTCAATGTGCCTCGAAAGGGAAGAGCAACAATCCCGGCGCTGGAAACCCCATTCCTTGGCAGACCCAAAGCAGCAAGTAGAAGACATCCACCTGGAAAGGCCCTTCGACTGGCTACCATCCAAGGGAGACACGAGTTCGATCAGGAGGGGTTCGCCCTCCTCCTCTCCAGATACTCTCAGAGTACGACAGCCAGCTACCAATCGCAGTGGGGATGGTGGTCTCTTTTTTGCCGACGCCGGAACGAAGACCTCGTGCGCTATGTGCCGTCCTACAACCGTGCGGAAGAGCAGTTAATCCTTGATTACCTGGTTCATTGTTCTACGAATGAAGCAAAGGCCCCAGGAACGATCAAGTTGAGACTTGCAGCCATCCGCTCAATGCACTTGACGTTGGGTTACCCGGATCCCTTGGCTCACACGCCAAGAGTCCCCTTGGCCCTAGCCGGTCTCAGAAGGCGATATGGCGCGAAAGAAAGGCGCACGCCTTACGCCTGACATGCTCAAATGGCTTGGGAACCATTTACAATTCGGGCGCTCTCAGGAAGCCAGCCTTTTATGGGGCGCCCTGACTTTGGGGTTCTTCTTCCTGCTGGGGGCCTCAGAGTACTTAGACGTGGGCTACCAAGATCCAAATCGGGGCCTTCAAGGAAGTGACATCACTCTGAAACTGAAGGGGAGAGCGTTGGGGCTTGATAGGCTCAGCGAAGCCGATGAGGTGACCATCCTCGTCCGAGGGTCTAAGACGGACATATATAACCGTGGACAGGTCCGCAACCACTTTAGAACGTCTGAACCTGTGTGCGTTGTGACCGCCATGGTGACGCTGTTCCACCACTTTCCCCAGAGGTATCAAGGGGGAGCAGAAGCAGAAGAACTTTTGTTCCGCTCACCCGATGAAAGGCCGATACCGCGTACTGCCATTCAAGCCCTTATCGAATGAGCAGCCAAGGGGCTGGATCTGCCCAGTGGCGACCTTGGCACGCATTCTTTGCGATTCGGAGGGGCAAGTGCCTTGTGGGCGCAATATCAGGACACCGCCTTGGTTAAAAGGTGGGGACGCTGGGCGAGCGATTCGTTCCAGACTTACGTATGGGAGGCACGTGAAACGGCGCGCGGTGTCGCTCAAAAGATGATCACGGCCGATCTCACCCCAAATTAAGTGCACGTTGGCCACTCCGCTTGCTCTGGGGTCCGAGGCGTGTTTCGCGCCCGGACCCGAGCGGGGGGGAGGAGCTCTAAAGGAGCAAGGGTGGCTCGAACCGGTTTGAGCCTTGGCGCGCAAAAAGTGGGTTTGCGTGGTGGACAGCTAGTGGAGTAGGAAACTTTAGGCATTCAGCTTGCGTGTGCGGGGTTTTCTTTTACCTCTAACTGTTTCACGCTTAGGTTCAAGGGCAAGGTACCCCCCCCCCCTCCCCCGAGCTCTAAAGGAGCAAGGGTGGCTCGAACCAGTTTGAGCCTTGGCGCGCAAAAAGTGGGTTTGCGCGGTGGACAGCTAGTGGAGTAGGAAACCTCTTATTTAGCAAGCAAGATGTAGTGCAGAAACCATTTTAACAAAAACGCGTCTCAAAAGTCTAAATCTAAGGCTAGTCGACTAGTTGAATCCCTCCACCAGGCTGACTACATCCACTCGCCCAGTTTCACGCTTGCTCAATTTCTCAAGGAAATCCAATGCCCAGAATCATTCCGAGTCCGTAGATATCTGGACACGCAGGTACTGACAGGTGCGTCTCCTGATGACTGTGCTGAGGTGACCGATGCGAGGCAAGGCATCCAGATGACCGGGAAGTTCGCATGCTCCGCGAAAGGAGAGTCGCCAGAACTTGGCTCAATTTGCTCTCGATTCTGCAGACGGGCCTCCTTCTTGAGACAAACACATCTGGACAGGAGAGATGCAACGGAATATAATATACAGTATATAAATGAAATGACATGGAATCCTTCATGTTCTTCTATGTTCTTTCTATGTTCTTCTATGAAATGACTAGTTCTTCTGAGTTCTTCTATGTTCTTTCTGACCACGGCAGTTCCGCCTTCCACGGCACCTTGCAGGATGGAAAATACACCCTGCAAATTTGGGGTTGACTGCACGCGCAAGGACGGATGGGCAAAACAAACTCATGCATTCCGTCGGATGGTATTCGGATTGATGTCGTCGATTTCCCGTTCTTCGGGCACTGTTTCCAGAAAAGGCAAGTAGTTCTCGTGGCCAATTCGGGAGTTATTGTTGATCATGGTTCCAACAGCAGGCATGATTGCCGATGCACACAGCGTTGTCAATTCCTGCTTTATTGAGAGGATTGTGTTTTCAAGCATCCAGAAGGCTATCGGAAGGCGGGGCACTCAGAGCAATCCAGGTGTTTTTGTTCTTTTCAACTTGGGGATGTCATTATCTTCATTGGACGTTTCATGGCTGTGTTTCTTGGCCAAGCATCCCCACCAGGTCCCTCGGTTGTCCCCGTGTTTGTTGCTTCCGCATCCGACCTCGCATGCCCAGCCTGGTGGAGATCGTGACCGAAAGGATCGAGGCCATGTTGTTTGACGGTTGATTGAGCATTGGTATGCATTGGTATCTCTTGCAAAGTTCATGTTTGAAACCATTGTGAAACATTGTGAACCCCCTGCCAGCCAGAATGCTTCATCATTCTCCTGGTTTCTCCCACCCCATGGTATCTTGAAGATCTCCAAGCCCTGACTGGCCTTGTGCACTCACTGATGCTTGCCAATGCAAACCGAAATCAAAAGCATCGGGCCAATCGGGTTTAGCACAGTTCGATAGAAGTTAGCAGAGAGTTGCTTTGGCAAGATAGAACTTCATAAAGACTTGACAGGCATTGAAACCCCTCAGAGAGCTGAACAAATCTGAAGATTCTTGGCCCTCCAATCCAACAAGCCTAGATGCCTTCAGTGCCAGGTCGGAGCAGCAGCTGACGGAGCCACAGGACTATGGGCTGCCATGAGATCAAATGTAAGGTTGTGGAACAGCTTAGGAATACCACTTACAAGACCCATGAAAACGCTGAACATGAGAGATTGTGTGTCCTCTAGGATTTTGTACGTCGTTTTTGCTTGCAATAGTCATGAAAATGGATTGCGTGACTGGTAGGACAACCGAACGGGCCAGCTATAGCAGCTATGAAAGAGCTCCTGAGAGCAACCAGGAGATGAATCCCTGACGTTTAACAGACACCTAGCATGAGTTGATGTTGCAGTGTGCGTTTGGTTCGATAGCCACGATTGAAAGGAGCCATGAGCGATCAAATTAAGTTTAACAAAAATGTGCAACATTGATGTGGTACGTTGTTATGTATGGTTATTATGTATGTATAACTATAATATCACGAATCGCCTTGCAGCGCCACCAGCACCCAAGCTCCAAAGCACACACGGCCACTGACATTTAGCCGGCACCTTGCAGCGGCACCCTGCAGCAGCACCAGCACACGCGTTCCAAAGCATTGCGTTGACATCCAAGCTCTTAAGGCGCAAAAGCCAAAGTCGGCCGGCACTCTCCAGCGGCACCAATACCCAAGCTCAAAAATCCACAGCCACAGACACCAGCGCCTCTCAATGGCCGCCCTACAATAATAATACTTTGCATTGGGACCAGAACCTAAGTTCTAAATTGTATATAATAAATGGGATTCAAATAACTATATATATATATATTTATTATAGATATTAAAGATATTTAACATTTGAATTTGATAATTTATTAATAATTATATATTGAAAGATAATTGAAATTAAAATATATTATATTATAGTGTATATATATATAGATAATAATAAAGACTAAGTTTTTTTAAGCTTAGTTTGTTGGACGTAATTATTTTAGGATTGAATTTTATTTGTTTATATGTTGGATGAGTTTTTTAAAGATTATTTTTGGTTATGTATTTTTTAGGTTGGATTTTATTGATTTTAATTTATATTTGAGGATTATTGTTATATATATATATGTATTGAATATTTATTGATATATATTTTTTATATTTATGGTAGGTAGAGAAAATATATTTGAAAATTTATTGATATTTGTTATAAATATGAAAATTAATATAATTTGGATATATAATTATTTCGATTATATAGTATTTTTATTTAAATAGGAAAGAATTAAATATTTGGCATTATTTTATCGTCGAATAGTCCGTGAAGATTATATTAATTATTATTGAGATATTGGGAAATTTTATATATTTTAATTTATTATTGAATAATTGAAATTAAAATACGTCTTATTTTGATTTTTTCTTTTTGAATTCGTTCTGAAGAATTTTTTTGGAATATTGGAAATGACTTGAATTATGATGAATGGATGGATTGGAATGATAGAAATAATTATGATATTTATATAATGAATTTAAAAAATAAAGTCGATTTTTTTGCAATTTATGATTATTTTCGAAAGAATGTATATTTGTATTATTAATAGTAGAATTTCTTGGTTATTAATGATTAAACGAAATGCAATTCAATCCCTGTAGGCATTAGTTAATGCTATATTTCTTGGACATTTGATTCATTTATATTTGATTTTTAAAAGAATTCATTATGTTTAATATATATGAATATATTTGGAAGACTACCGGACTACGTTTTGAGCTGTTGATTGACAGATAATATTTGTTATAATATTTAATTGACGGAGCCTTGGCAATACCGTATGTCTGTATTCTAGGCACGAAATTTGACAAGGCCCCAGGATAAATTTATCTTTCAGGAATTGATAGTTGAATATTAAATTAGTTGTAGTGCACTGCAAACAGATGTTTAGATTCATTTTTTTTTGCATGGATCATACGATTGCAGAATTGATTATATGCTTATTCGGAAACATTAGATCCGTTGGAAGTAGTTGCATTCCCATATGCATTGTAAATTTGAATTTATTCATGGCGTCATTGGTCCTGTCCATAGATCCCTGAATATCTCATTGCCCAAACGGTTTGCCACGCCTAATATTAATTCTTGTCCGCATCCCATCGATCGTTTTCATTTTTCGACAGGAATTTCTTGGCCAAACCCCCCGCTGGCATGAGTTTGGTACAATTGCACGGGGCTTCATTGCCGCTCACAGAACTAGGAATTAAGCCTAATATTACCCAATGATTGCCCAAAATCGTGTGCTCGAACTAGAACTTAGATAATTATGCATTGATTTCTTTCCAAGGGGGAAATGAATATGCATACAACTGCATCCCCTGGATTCCATTACATCTCAGATGTGGACCGCACGCCAGGTGATGAAACAATATATACAGCCATCCTTGCTGCATTATTTTCGATATTGGCAATTGCAAATATGTTTTCACCAATTGCATCATAAAATGCGACTCTATAGCCGTCTGAATCGACGACACAGACTTGAAACGTTCATGAAGGAGAGTGCTGATCTTATGTTTCGTCATCAAATCTTAGATTGGCACAGACGAATTCGTGCATTGTGCCCCAAACAGGCTAGGCAACGAATCCAGATATATGATCAAGAAGGAGCCCCATAAATGCCTCAAGAAGAATTTGATCGCATAGTCCCATACTATCAAGACCTATATATTGATGAGATATACCAATCTCATCACCTTCCGGGCCTTGTGACACTGCCATTTACTCAGGCACAACTTGGTGACCAGATCAATCGATTTCCGCTCACCAAAGCCCTGGCTCCTGATGGAATGCCAGCAATCCTCTGGCGGCACTTTGCCTCAGAATTGACGTGATTAGCATTTCAAGATATTCAATAGTATTGGTGTCCCACCACAAGCAGTGCTCCAGAATGCTGGTCCAAGGGTTGGATTCACCTATTGTGTAAACCACAGAAGCCCCCTCATAAGGTTGAAGCTCTGAAACCCATATGCTTGCAGCATCCTATGAACAAGGTTCTCATTGAATTGCATTGTCAGCTTTTGCATGAACATGCATTTCCTCAATTTCGTCGCATGCCCTTATACGCATATATGCCAGCACGTGGCAGCAAGGACTACCTCCTGATCGTCTCAGCTCACTGCAAAAGGGTGAGAGACTTGTGGACGCTTCACCAGAGAGATGCTGACCCTGCTGGGATTTGGGGTGGCCTGCAAATGTCACTAGATCTTGAGAAAGCCTTCGATATTGTAGGTCGTAACCATGTCCTTAAAGCCCTGGCGATTTTTGACAGGTTATTTCTTCATAATTATTGCCTGTCTCATAAGGATATCGTAGGCAGATTTCGGACCCATCGTGGTATCAAACAAGGTGCCCGTGATGCCCCGCTGGTGTGGATTGGATGTATGTACCATTTCCTGCATCAATTTCTAGAAAGGACTGAATCTCAGAGTTCAGGATTGAACCTTTCCAGTTCAGTTTTTTTATATCTCTGTCCATTTTCAGGTTAACTCCAGAGTTCAGTCCTTTTTCTGTTGTTTGGCTAATCTCTATAGTTTGGAGATGGTTGAGGCCCTTGTCTTCATTTGTTGTATTTATTCTGAAGAATATCCAGGGATGTGATTGTTTTATTCAATTTGTTCTTGAGAGTTTATTATGTTTTCCTTGCCACATCTACTACGTATAAATTCTAGAGTTCAGCCTTTTTGCCGTGAAGATTTGCTAGGTATTATCTCACAAGTTTGTTGTTTTGCTCTTTCAATTTTGGCTATCAAAGTTGTCGGTGCTTAGCTTTACTTATGGCGGCCATTGGCATGGCATGGTGGCTAGGGCTGCTCGTCGGGTGTGCCTCTGGTGTCTTGCTTTTCAGACGAGGAGCTGTCCCAGGAGCCTTGGTGCAGATTCGCGAGGAGTCTCAGGTACGATTCGAATATGCAAAATCAAACCAATAAATAAAACACAAAGCAAAATAAATTGCCAAAAACACAGCAGAATCAACAATATGTCAAATGATCAAAGAGCAAAACAAAGTGAAGCGCAACACGCACTGTAGGAAGCAAGACAATACAGAGGTACAAGCAAGCACTTGAGGATAAGTATGTGACATTATACACATATTATATATATATATATTACTAAATACGTCAATCATATCATATAACAAATATCATGTCTGATATAGTGTATGCTATATGTTGTTATTGCTTTGGTATTGTGTTTTATTAGAGAGTATTATATGATAAGATATGATATTTCTTTATCTTGTATTTATTATTTCATATCAAGCAATTTTCTATAGTTGTTGAATGTAACCCTGTTCAAAGGTGACCATAGAAGATTCTATGGATGGATGGGTTTCAGTTGAGCCTTGCTTGGCTTTGATTCATGTGCCTGACTTGCAAGATGCATCAGCATCAGGGAGTGGTGCAGCTCCAATTGATGATTTGCGAGTGACTTGATTCATAAATTTATAGGGCACCATTTCAATTCCCTGTCATGTTTTATGTTTTGTTGTCTTCGGCCCCAAAGTTTTTTCGGCTATCTTATCAGTTAGTTTTTGAGCGCTCGAAAAAGGAGACATCTAGGCTTTTGGATTTATAGAGACTTGGCAATCAGGTGAGGGAAGGCCGCAAGAGAAAGGCTTGGGGAAAAGCATGCATGGATCAGAGACTCTCCGCGATGCTTCGAAGCGCTGGATGCAGGAACAAGGCTTCCTTCATAAGGCATTAGTGACCAGCTCAAAGGACAAGAAGACAAGCTACCTTGCAGATTGTGATCGTTGCGAGAAGTGCATTTATCAATTTTGTTTCTCCATCGAAGGCAAGGAGGTGTGCATTGAGAAAATTGATCAATAGGGTGGCCCGAAGAATTACAAACGCATCAAACTTCACAACGCCAGGAAGTGTGCATCCACCACGCCAAGTCGGGCGTTCAAGCAAATGGTTGAGGAAGAGATTCCTCCAGATGAACGCCCTGCCACCTATCAATTGAAGAACCAGCGGCCGTCGATGAAGTCTCGAAAATCTCTGCAATACTCAGTCGATTGCCTTGGTGCTTTGCGCAAATTTGTAGAGAGCCCTCCAGAAGGAATCGT